AATCGGTTAAAATTTTTAATACAAACTTTATAATAAATCACCGTGTTATCAACGTCTATTACAAAAGATCATACCGTAATGTCCCTGGATTAACTGACGATTTTACGATCAGATGATTCCGTTCGACTGTGTGGATCAGTTTTGTATATAATTACCAATTTGAATCGGGGTCCACATTCTGGCATTAATTTAATATATTAACTTAATGTACCTACTTAATGTGTAACACAAATTATAATGATAATCTCTGGTAACCAAATTTTTTCCTTTGAAAAACTCTGATCCGTTGTTCCTAACCCATGATTCCAATTTATATTATCAAAATAATTTGATATATAATTCTTCAAATCTGATTTCTTTACATATTTAAAATAAATATTCGATGTACCGAAAATTCTAGATCTAGGTCGCGAAAATCAGGAAATTAATATTCTTTTTTTCTTTACAATACAAATAAAAAACAAAATAAAATAAAGGCTAAAATAAAGAATGAGAAAGTTTAACATCATGGCTGCGCCGTGATGTTCAAATGAGATTTGATAATTGTTCACAATTTGCGTTCATTGTACGAATGATTCCAAAAAAGTAAATTCATACAGTATTACCCCTTAACATCCATTTTGATCGACAAGGAAATTTGTCATTTTCAGAAATTTGTATGGTTACAAATATGTACGGTACCTCGATTTTTATTTTGTAACCATATAAGAATGAACATTAACTCAAACTCCTTGATTTTTAATTTAAAACATGGAAGATTATGAACTGGTAGCTGCAGCCTTATCTAAAATTACAAATACGCAAGTGATTACATATAATGAATATTTGTCACAAAAGGATAAAAATTCTGACCAAATTTTTCAATATTTTGATAGTAATTTACTTCATGATATCTATTTAGTCAAAGGGGTTGTCACTTCCGACGTTATTGAGGTTGAAGATGATGATATCGCTTCTTCATCTAATGTCGAAGTTGAAAATTCTACAAACAATTTCGAAAACGTTTTCATATCATTTTCCGGAGAAACTTTGGAAATTAAAAATCTAAATGCGAATACCACAATTAGTCAATTGAAAAATAAGATATTTGAATCTAAAGGGATCGTACCAAATGAGCAATGGTTAACAATTCAAAATGTCTTCATAAAGAACCTTTCTGGAAAGACTTTAACGGTTAAAAATCTAAATGCGAAAACTTCCATAAATCAATTGAAGAATAAAATTTATGAAACGGAAGGAATACCACCAGATGAACAATACTTAAATTATGGTCTTAAATCACTTCAAGATCATCAGACGTTAAGTTATTACGAAATTACAAATGATACAACGATTAATTTATCCACACGATTACGTGGAGGATCTAATACGATTAAAGTTCTTGACCGTGATTTCTTGGATCCACATTACAACTACGACTTTACAAACATCAAACCTTGTGGTAGAACTTACATGCGTGGCAATTATAAATATATGCGACCGTATGGATGGAATCGTTTGGCGATAAGAGTTCTTGATAAGTATTCCGATAATCGTTGGCTTGGGGTAAATAATAGGACAAAGTTTTCCGAATCTGTGGAAGGCGAATGGATAGTTAGTTTTCATGGTACCGCAAAGAATAATGCGAATTCCATTGCGAAAGATGGATTCCGTTTAAGCAAAGGAAGAAGGTTTCAATATGGCCGTGGAGTTTATTCCACCCCGGATATAGACACGGCCGCTTGTTATGCTGATAAGTTTGTGCATGAAGGGGTGAATTATCAAGTTGTATTTCAAAATCGTGTGAAACCAGGTACTTTTGACGTTGTATCATCGGAAACCGGGTTAAAAATTTTTATTACTCGTAACGATAAAAATATTAGACCTTATGGTATTTGTATTAGAAAAATTTAAAATTATTTATAATCCACTGTTCTTTGTCCTCATTTTATTTTTACTAACGTAAATTTCGTAGCTAACGTGAATTGATAATAAAATAACGAAAATTGTTGTTATTATCTTTTATTCCGTTACAAATTCGGATTTCGATTCCATTATCCATTAGTACATCATCAATCATGCTTGAAAGTTTCTTTTGTTACCTCCTAATTTCGATTTAAGTTTACGGCGATATTTTTAAAAAATGGCAAATTCCTCTATCTAAAACAAAGAAAAAACGAAGTCTATATCAAAATTTTTATATAGATAATGATATAATTCTTTCATGGAAGGTAAAATTGATAATTAAAGAAAAGAATTCGGTTCGAATTTGAATTTTCGAAATGATTGTTGCACGAGGTTCAAAATTAAAATTAATTCTAGCCTGAATAGTTAATTTTTTAGAGTCTAAACAATTACGTTTTACTATGATCGGAATTTTCGGAGTTTAGAAGTTTCCCATCATATGAAATTAGATCTACGTAGATTACAGTTCTTATTTTGGAAAAAAAAGAAAAGAAAAAAAGAATTTTCTTTTTTGGAAAGATATTTTTTTCTTTTTATCCTTTTTTATTGTTAAAATAAACATTCGATCAATCACATCATTACTGTTAGATCAGTTCAGTAGATCATTCCATTTTTCAATGTTTATATGTCGATTCACAAATTAACCTTTTGTGGGATGTAAGATTTAATAAAATTATTATAGAATAATTCACGTGAAGTTGGCTTTGAAAAAAAGTTTCTCATAAAATTTTGTTAAGTTATAAAATGCAAATATCATTAATCAAATATAACGCAGGAAAAAAATAAATGTCGAAAGAAAAATACAATAACCTTTGGTGAAAAAGAAGAAAATGGACGTTCAACTTTCAAATCGTATTAGAATAGAAACATAAGATCTTGATTAATGAAGAATCTCAACAACAACATTTGACAGAGTAATAAATTTAGATCCTGAATTAATATTAACGTTAATGATTTAATTAATAGTTTTACTGCAGCATTTCCGTTTTTGCTGTGCCTGTTGAAACTGATCTTTTTTTTTATGAAATATCAATGTAATGATAATATCAAAGTGTCCAAATTTTGTTAGAAAGCATAAATAACAAATTTTTGTAATCAAAATTACGTGCCGCCTGTTGCTTTATCACTTCGAATTTTCTAGCTTTTACAATCACCATTATAGCGAAATCCTCAAAAGTTTGGCGTCACTGTGAGAAATATAAACGCGAATCTAAAGCAAATATATTATTGTTTTTAAAGCGGCAAGAGAAAGGATCGGATTTCTCAGGATTACTAATTATCGTCAAAAAAAAAACCGCAAATTTCCCAATGTTTATCGTAGTATCAATATTCAATGATAAACTATTACGGAAGAAACTCTTCATTATCCTATAGATAATATGGCTTTATTAATTATAAACGGCATTTTCTTTGAAATCACGTGACGTGATTCGTCGAACGCGGTTTAAACTTTGGGGGCTCATTAAATCAAACATACATGTAATTCCTATAATTTATTTTTATATTAAAATTTTGTCAAAAAAAAATAATGACTAGAAAAGTTAAATCCAAATGAATTTGTAATTTTTATTATTGCTTGGACAAAAGTTTAAACGAATAAACAATAACATAAATCAATGACATTTCACTTTTTTGAAAAACCAAAGAAATAAAAAACATTTTAATAAGCAGAAACCTGTTGAAATGTATTATCTATTTTTTTTTTTTAAAAAAAAAGCAGTCGCATGAAGGATTGCATAATATGGAGTGAAAATAGCGAGAAGAATTCATAAAAATTATTATATTTGTCTGGAAGAATAATGAATGTTACACAACAGACCTTAAAAGGTATCCCAGAACTCCAAAAATATAATCAACCGAATGTCGAAGCAGGGTATTCGCGTGGTAGATGAGCATTTAAGTTTCATCTCAAATATGATTTTTTTAGTAAGCACTATAATATTGTATATTGTCTAGGCAAACGTGCACAAATGTTGAATGAAACATCGCAAAAGATGGTTGATTCACGAAGTAATAATTGTTCAAAACTTGTAATATTTATGGCTATTGTACCAAGAATTCTTGCACATGATCCCTACGCGTACCATGTTTCTTTTACTTTCGTAAATTTAAACACGATGACAATATCTTTTTAATTTCCTTTCTTTAAAAAAAAGCCTCATACCCCCATTATGAATTCATAAAAATTTGTGGTAAAATATTTTCCTATTTGGAGCTTATTCATTGAATTAATTGTGCAGAATAATTTCTTGTTAGGGTTATGCACATTGTAAAGATGAAACTTTTGTTTTTCTCTGAATGCAGAAAAAGATGAAACATAATTACTTATTTCATCCGTAATTAATTAAAACGTGTGGTGCATGATTTTGCAAGTGATCATCCAAAATTTTTGGATCGATCAGAAGTTTTTTTTTTTTTGTGATAAGTTTAGCGCATGTTTTACAAATATATTTCATATCTGGACATTTTTTATGCAAGAAAAAGTTAATTTTGGTATTTCATTCTATATTAATTTAGAAAATTCTTTTTAGATAATAATTACCTAAAATTATATTTCAATTGACTTTTTTTATAGGCATGGAACCCCAAAAAAAAAGCATTGTATCTTGTTTCAAGTTAGACATTCATGAGTCATTGTGCACACATCTTTTTACGAAAGCCAATAATCGAAATAATTTACTTTATTCTTTATCGATACTGGTGTTACAAACAAGTGTGTCATCACGAAGTCATCTTATGGGAAACTTTAATCTCTCAACTCATTGATTTAGCTATTGACAAAATCTGTCACGCAAAAAGAGAAATTAAATTAAACAGTTGCATAATTTATTATGATTCCTACATAAAATTTATGTTAATATTTAACTTAAACGAAACTTGATTATCAGCGGACGAAAAAATTTGTGAAAGGATTTAAGAATCTTATAAATATTGTTATGAAATTTCAAAAGGTGAGGAAAATAATTTTTTTCATTTCTTAAACATCAAACAACAACTAATTCAAAATTACCTTCTTTTCGCTGCGCACCTAAAACATATTTTCGCAACATTTAACCATGCAACGTCTTCCTCCAGCTGGGTGGTCACGTCACCATTTAGTTTACCCGCATCGATGTATATATTGTTCACCTAATTCAAATCCACGCGAGTATACGCGCCCAGTCTCCCAATTATCAAATCCACCGCTTCCTATGCCTGAACCTACGTACGATCCTTTTCGTTTTCCCGATTCTCATAAGAATTCCGCAAAACACTTTAGAAAATCTCAATCTAACGATTGCATTCATATGCACCTTGTCAACTATACGGACACCCGGTTATCTGTAAATGATAGCACAAGAGTCGTATCATCTGTTAGTGACCGTGAATCTGTAGTAATTGATATAAAAGACGAAATATCCGAGAAAATTTCCCCAATGAATAATCCTTCTTGGTGGAGACGATCTTATTGGGTTTTTTTGACCCTATTGAATGTTTATACGCTTATCGGAAGCATCATTTTAATTTTATCTTTTTACGTTCGAACTAATCCATTCGAGGTAAGACAATTCATTAATTTAGCTTTCCAAGTTTTTTTTGAAACGGACAAAAAATTAATATGAATTTATTTTATTTATTTATTTTTGTAGTCCTACAATAATGCCGTTTCCACTTACGTATTTGTTATAATTACTGCTTTAGAATTGGCTCCTCGTGCATCAAACATTTATCAAATTCACCAATACAGCAACGGAAATATTTGCCTCTGCGATGTTATCGCTATAATGTTGGGTAAGTTTCTCTGTTGATTGATACGACGCCTAATAATTTTTTTGATGGATTTTCATATTTGGAAAATCCTATTCACAACTTTTTGATCAATAGGTAAAAAAGAATTGTATCTATTATACGGAAAAACACAATTTACAGAAAAACAGATTGACAAAATGGGATATATGACGGATGCACTTTCTCTTATCTATTGGATATTTTTAAGTTATCAAATTGCACTCGAAATACAAAAGAATTTGGGAAATTCAATTGAATTTATTATATTAAAAGACAGAGAAAGATTATTAATGTTTAGTTTATTATTAACTGTTACTCTGTTGGTATTGAAAATGTTTTGGACTTTATTAAGAAAATGTGTTCACTTTGTTGATAAATTTGATTGATTTTAATGGTACGCGACAGGAACAATTTTTTTATAAATGTCTTTTTTGTTGTATAGTCGAGCTACTAAATCATTCACATGCACTTTAGAAGAATATCTTTATCGAACAATTGTAAAGTATTGTTAAATAAAAAGATGTTTCCTAATAATTTTTCTGAACATTACAAAAGTCTCCGTAATATTTTTCCTTTTTCATAGGTTGCATGAAACTGATTATATTACTATAAATGTGCATGAATAATTTTATTTTATAATGATGCGGAATTTTATTGCAGAATCCCTTAAAAGATTATAAGTTGTTTATCATGCATCATTAATGAACTTTATTTTAACACTTTTTATTGTTTTATTATTTACTTTTTTTTATTCTTTCCTTGAAATAAATGTCGGAGATATCTGATTTTATTCCTAATTTTATTTGTCATACAAACATTTTGAGGTATTCCAGGTAAACCACTTCGTTGAAGGTATTCTTTAGAAGAATTTTAAGTGTGACAAACAATTAGAATTTTCTTTGTGTTACTTTCGAATATCTTGATTGGGTAAAAGAAAATTTTATTCAAAAAAGTATAAAAAGATCATGTACTCGGAGAGTACCAGTTAACCTTTAAGAATTCAACCTTTTTTTTTTCGAAAAAATAAATCTAAAATTTTTATCATCAATAATAATCCTTTAATATGAGAACTCCACCACCAAGATATGCTCATTCCCAAGTGGAACTTAAACTTTCTTGTATCGATTTGCCAGATTTAGATTATCTTTCCAAAAGTGATCCACAGATTATTTTATTGATTAAAGACATTCGTACTCAAAAATGGAAACCAACTAACCAACAAACCGAAGTTGTTATGAACAATTTAAATCCAAAGTTCGTAACCAGCTTTATCCTTGATTATTTATTTGAAGAATTACAACAGCTTAGGTATGTAAACGAGATTTTTTAAATTTTTTTTTTTTCTATTTAATAAATTACATTATCAATTTACCTATCTGTACTCTTTATAGATTTATTTGTGTAGACGTTGATAAACCAAATAATCCTAAATGGCAAGAACAAGAATTTATAGGTCAATTTGATTGTGACCTTGGTTCTTTAGGTAATTTATATATGCATTATTATTACATTGTTTAACTTTTGCTTCATGCGAAGATATTGGAGAAATTTACCAAACTTATAATCTTTTTTTGATAATACAATCTTAATTAGTTGGTTGTCAGGGTGGTAAGATGAAAGGAAAATTATATGATCCGAAACATCAAGGAAAAGATCGAGGATATATCATCATATCAACCGAAGAAGTAAGCAAGTCAAAAAGAGACGCAAGGTAGGTAAATCTTGGAGTATTATTCTTTTGAATATTCGACACGATAATTAAATGTTTATTCTTTTTTTTTAAAAAAAAAAAATTAATTAGATTACAGTTTCAAGCTCATAACATATTTTCAAAGGTAGGAAGAATTTTTTTTTTTTAAAAAAAAAGATAAAAATTTAATTAATAAATTTAATTCAATTATAAATTTTAATTTTCAAATATTTTCCTGATTTATCCAGAGCGGTTTGTTTAAAGCGAAACCCGAGGTATTTTTAATTGTCAGTAGAGCAAACGAAGATGACACATTTTCACCAGTTTTCAAATCTGGTGGAATTTCTTCAGCGAACCCGATTTGGGACGAATTTACCAGTAAATGCGCTTTTTTTTTTTTTTTTGACCATATTTTATTATCATGATCAATTTATTCACGCTTTTTTTTTGATTTATAGTCAAGGAAGCGACTTTATGTAATGGAGATTTGGATCGATCATTACAATTACAAGTAAGACAAGAAAAGAAGAATGGATGTGCGTGATTACATTAAATGGTATTTCTTATTATTTTACCCGTGAAGAAAAAAAGATTAATAACAATGTTTGATAAATTATAGCTTATCTAATTCTTGGGCAATGTACTGTCACCCTTAATGAAATTTTATCGGGTAAAAAGTCATTTGCATTACGTTTACCTCCAGGTGTAAATGGGAAAGTTGGAAAAGATACAATTATAACAGTTTCTCACGCATCAATCGAAGAACCTCCAACATTTTTAGATTACATTGCCGGCGGTACAGAGATAAATCTTGTAGCCGCAATTGATTTTACGGGATCTAATGGAGATCCTCGAACGCCGAAAAGTTTGCATTATATCAATGGACGAAGGGAAAATGATTATCAGAGAGCGATTCGTAGCGTTGGGAAGATGTAAGTTGACTATCATCAAAGCGGAAATTTTTGTATCGTGCTCTTTTTGTTGATTTTCTTTTCTTTTATCATAGATTGGAAGGATATGATTATGACAGAATGTTTCCAGTATATGGATTTGGTGCAAAATTCAATGGTGTGTTATCACATGCTCACCCACTAAATAATAATTTCAGTAATGTATGTTGGGTTTAAGTTTGGTATCTGTCCTTTGTTTTTGACACGTTCTGATTCTAAAATTTTTTTTTAATAACTGCTTTTTTATTTTTATTTTTTTTTTTTTAGCCTGAAGTTGAAGGGGTTGATGGAATAATGAGTGCATATTCACAGGCTATACATAGTGTTGAATTATACGGCCCAACTAATTTTTCACCCGTAAGCTTTAACCGAAGTGGCACAGTTTGATAAATATTTAATTTAATTATATTAATATCATTTTTTTAAAAAAAAAAAAAAATTTTAGATCATAAATCAAACAGCGGAGAGAATTAAAGTGGAAGTTAATGCCGGAAATGACAATGTTTATTATATACTGTTAATCATAACAGGTAACTTGACAAATTATTGATACAAGCCGCCACCCATTGTATTTTAATATATATATATTTATATAATGAAAACTTTTTTTTTTTTAATTCGTATTTAGACGGTGTAATAACAGGTATCTTATCTTTAATAATATCTTCCTATATCTTTTGATACTTTAGCCCATTTTTTTAAATTCTTTCTTACTAGATATGGATTCTACAATCAGATCGATCGTGAGTGCTAGCGTACTTCCGTTGTCAATTGTTATAGTTGGAGTTGGCAATGCCGATTTTACCAATATGAATATACTTGATGCCGACGATAGACCATTAGTGGTAAGTAATTTGTTAATTTTTTTTTCAAAAAAAAAGTCAATATTAACACATGTATACGTTAGCAAAAGTCGGATTATCAGACGAGAAGGGCAGAGATAGTAATGGATAGAGATATTGTACAATTTGTAGCGATGAGAGATTTTCAAACAGAAACAGCACAATACCAACTACCAAAAGCTGTATTAGAAGAAATTCCCGATCAATTTATGGGTTATATGAAGAAACATAACTTACAACCCAGAGACCCTATTAGAAGAAGAACCATTGAATTAGAGGTTGATGTTCGATTTGTTGGAAGTCCCGATGAACCGCCACCAGCTTATACTTCATAAAAGAAAATTGTATTTAATCATTATTTATTTAACACACTATTTATTATTCATCAACTTATAGATTATCTTCCTTTATTAATAATATGTATTTTCTTATTAATAAAAATGACGCTACATTACAGTTATTAAAGGATAAGGGTATCTCTTTTTTTAGATTATCGGAAGAACAAGATGCTGTATAACAAAGATTATCATCATTTATTACACCTTATTTTGATAAGATGTAAACAATTAAATTTAGAGCTAGCACCTTTTTTCCCATGTAACTTTGAATTACAAAATGGGGTTATTGGCAACAAATATCTTTCAAAAAAGATTCTTGAAGTTAGATTACAATTCATTGATTATTTGAAAAGTCATAGGGATAAGAACGGATATCATATCAAAAAATGTGTTTATTTATATATTCCGAGTCATGGAAAATACTATCAGAGAGATCAGTTGATTACTCAAAAATGGACTTGCTATTACAAACATATTAATTTTTTTAATACAATTATTTTAAGGAGGTTTTTATTTAGAATAAATTGTTTTGGAGACGTGTAAAAACTCTATTTAAAAGTTTTTATAGATAAAATACTCTAAACATCATGTGCAATAAATTTAATTAAAAAAGTTCTTGGTCCGAAAGGAATTTTGATGAAATGTTGAATAAAAGATCAAATTATGAAGAACTGATAAGTTCAGCATCATCTTTAAATTATGACGATTATGATTCATTCTATATAATACGCGTCCTTCATGGCAATGATTTTCATTTTAATTCGTATATTTGCTTTGTGAAAGTTTAATCTTATTCAACTTTATATAAAGACTGACAGCTTAAATTATCCTCTTGAGGTATTTTTCCAAATTTATCATTTTATGATTAAATTATTTTTTTTTATAAAGGTTATAATTTTAATGTTCAATGTTTTTAACTGTCAAAATAAGAATATGAAATTTTTCGCTTGTGTAACTTAACTGCGCTGCATCTCGAGAATCGCAAAATTTGATGTCATCCTATCGAATTCTACAAATCCAAACAAAAAGAAAATCCGGAAAGAGTGTTCCCCATAAATCCATATGTTTTGTTACCGGAAAGTTTCGGTCGTATAACCGGTTACATCAAAATTTCTCATACGTATCATTACCTTTTTTGGCAATTCAGATGATTCTTCTCGCGAGACTTGCATAAAAAAAACTACCGTGTAGGTTTTCGTATTTTCCAATTTCTTCTTCCTCGTTTTAGATCTTTTTTTTTTGTCCCAGAAATACGTGACAACGAAAAAGCTTTACAGAAAAGTTCAAGGACACAAAAACGATAGACAATTTATACATCATTCATCAAAAAATTTCCAACAAAGCGACTTTTTGTTTTTTCACCATGGATGAATCAATTATGACGACTATCATATATGATGATGAATATAGTTTTGAAGAGAAGGTCAAATTGATTTCAAGGGTGAATCAAAACTTTATTAAGAAAAATCAAGAATTGCTCGATAGTAAGCAACAAATCATTAATGAACAGACTCAATTGATTAAATTTCAACAAAAGTTACTTGATATGTTACAAGAGAAACAATTTGGTAAATGTGTCTGCGCATGTGCTAATAGGGTAGAGAATGATGGGTCAGGGAATGACTTGATCGAATTGTTTGATGACGAAACGGTCATTTCCAATAATTCTCGCGGTAAATTGTTGACGGGCTATGAAGGAAAATATAGTCATTATATAAAGGGTGAGTTTTATTTTTTTTTTTTTGTCGCCCGTTGAATATCTAAAATTTCAGATAATATATATATATATATATATAATTTTATCCCTACCTTTTTTCTTTGTCTTAGGTATAAAGCCTTGTTATAAAGTATATATTGGAAACTTGCCACCGCATATTTCAATGTTTCAGCTAAAGAAGTTTCTTAACGAGCAATTTGGTAATGTTGATTATATCTATAAGGTTGTTCCCAACGTGAGTTCTTATCCTAGTTGATGTTGGCTATATAAGTAAACCCGGACTAAATAAAAATTTTTTTTTTCTTTTCTTATTTCGAAGGATAAATGGGCGTTCGCCTTATTTTCGGATTATAATTCGTGTAAAAAAGCGATTTCACAAGGCTCCATAAGAATTCATGGTTTCTCGGTCAATCTGCAAATTCCTCATGATCGTGATTATTTTTGAATCACAGGGTATGAAATATATTTTATCTATCTAATCAAGTTAATTAAAAAAAAGTTCTTCATTTTAATTTCAACATCATTCGATTACATCTAGAATTCGATTTGGGAATAGATTCATGAAGATCATTCATTTGACGTACTTTTAAATTTAATTTTAATTTTTTTTTTTTTTTTTTTTTTTTTTGAGAAAATGAATATTCATATTTAGCAAGAAAAATAAAAGAAAAGAAAGCAAAAAAAAAAAAAAAAAAAAATGTAATCGAAAAGAAATAAAAAAAATCAAACCACTGTTAGGTCGAGTCGACCAATCAATCCTATGGTATTTTTCGTAGGCAAGGTTGATTCTATTGCAAATTAATGATACTGTATGTGGGTGACGGAGTTGACAACAATACTTTGTAAATTATAATTTGATGATCATATACAAAAGATACGATTATCATTGTTTCAAATGTATTCAAATGTATTTTTAATTCAAAACAAAATGGTGGTTAAAAACTCAACTCCGACGGATAAAAAGCGTTAAAAAATCCGAGATAAACAACCTAATAAACCTGTTATTTTTTTTAATCCAGAGAGTACTTTCTTCTTTAAACCGAAACTCTATAAAAATGTTTTCCCCGATTATAAACGAATCAATAATAAGGAACATAATTGATCAAGAAGAATGCAGTAGCGAAGAAAAAGCGAATATAATCGTACAATTAAATGAACAACTTAAAATGTTACTTGAGAACAGACAACAGATCATTAATGATCAAGCCAGATTAATTTTGTACCAACAAAGGTTACTGGAGATGAAAGTTATACAAGAAAGTAATGAGAATAAGAATAAAATCGTCGTGAATGAAAGCCTAGATGGTATCAGTAATGTGACGATTTCCAAGGATAATAATAAGATCGAATTAAATCTTAATGTCGCTAAATCAAAGAATGATGAACGGCTGAGTGTGATAAATCATAATGAGGACAAGAGAGTTGATGACAACAATAGTACGTTGCGTTTGTCACAATCATTGATTTTTTCGAAAATGAAATAATATTTTTTTTTTTTTTATTGGTAGTCTTAAAACCACTCTATAAAGTTTTCATTAGAAAATTACCACAAAACATCGAAATCGTTCAAATAAAGAATCGCTTAAATGAAATGTTTGGTCACGTTGACTCGGTGTATAAATTGATTCCGGAAGTAAGTAAAATCAAAAAAAGTGATATAAAAAAGATTTTATTTATTTAATTAATTATTTTTTTTAGAGCAATTACGCATTCGCTTTATTTTCAAATTACGATGCATGTCAGCAAGCGCTTTCTCAGGGATCCATTAAATTTCAAGAAAAATTTCTTCATTTACATAACGCTCGTGATCGGGAAAATGGTTCAACGTAAGGAACGTGAATTTATATATTTTTTCGTTTTTTTTCAGGAAACTCGAACCATTTCATATATATATATATATTTTTTTTTTTCGTATTTTTTTTTTTAATGATTTAAATAAAGTTCATAAGAAATGTTACTACTTGACAAGATAGATTGTGATTGAATGATGCGTGATTTATCATTTTTTATTATTAAGGAAAGACAATGAATGACAAAAACAAAATAGCGGACTGCGGCTAAAAAATACACAAAAGGTTGAAATCGTTAACGTTAACAAAAATCATGAAAAAAAAAATTCCTTTTGAAAAAAAAAAGAATCCTCTTACTTTGGCCTTTGCAATTTCTTGATGAAAAGATCCACGAGTCAAAAAAAAATATACAATTGCATTCCACTACTTTTACGCTAGAAATAAAAAAAAAATTTTTTTCATGTTAACAGTTTTGGTTAGAAAATATATATATATATATATAAAAAAAAGACACTTTTAAAACGAACCATAATTGAATTATTTTTTTTTAGATTTTTTTAAATTTTTTTTTTTTTTTTTTTTTTTGGTTTTTTTTTATTTATATATGTATATCGGTCTCGTCATAAAAGAGGCGAGCCGTGTGACCCAAATGGTAAGTTCTCAAGCTTCGTCTTGGTGGCTCTCACATTCCTCGCGACCATTGTGTGGGCCCTTCCTGCCCCACAAGGTTTAAAGGAGTATGATTACTGAGCCAGCCAAAAAAAAAAAAAAATTTTAAAGTATTTTATTCTCTTTTTTTTTTTTTTTTTTTTTTTTTTTCTGTTGAATTAATTAGAAAAAACTTTTTACGACAGTTGAATATGAAAGAGAAATTGCAGATGTATTTATAAATTTTAATAAAAAAAGAAAAAGAAGGGATTAAAAAAAGGTTTATGACAAAGAAAAAATAAAGGTACGAATGAGGCTTTGGACGTTGCGTGGCTTAGTTCTCGATTTCCATCTTTCAAAACCTTATCGTTATGTCAAAAAAGTATGGCTTAGTGGGAAGGGAACAATGCGAATTATTTATTATATGATGATTGCCGTTTGATGATGGCTTGGTCGAGGGCTAATTCTTTGACACAAGCAAATAGCAAAAACAAAAAGCAAAAAAGAAACGAGAATTTCGAATAAATTTAAATCAAAACAAATCCAATCATTTGTTTATTATGAAGTGGGCTTGAGATTTTTGACAAGATAAAAAAAAAATGAATTAATTTAAAAAAAAAAAATGCAGATGATCTCCGCAAAGCCCAATTTCAGGTTAAATTCTCGTTCGTTCATTGATCTCAAAGCCACCCCACCAAACAGATTGGAAATCGTTTTTTATTAAAAACAAGTTTTTTTTTTTTGATTTACACAAAATGTCTATTCCCGTTTGAAATTCGAATTGAAATTCAAAAAGTTTTATTAAATAAGTGTGCAAGATGAATCTTTCATATCGAATATTCGAAATTACTTGAATTAATTACTCGGGAAAGTCAACATTTAATTTTTTTTAATTTATTTGCATCCTCATACTTTCATGCTATTTAAAATCGAGTTATGAACAAATTTAAAGATGATAACATTTGAGGGACAAAATTAAATAATTATCATAAATTTGTGAAATGTGACCATTATAATCGGAAACAATCAATTTACCCGTTTATTTTCAGCCTTTTATCAAAACAAAAAAGAGGAGACTCAGCCAAAACTTTTTTACATCATCTCAAAAAGACATTTTATATTTTATAAGCCATTAGTTTAAACCATTAATGCAATTTCCGCGCCTTATTGGTAATACTAAGCCAAATTATAGGGCAAAGTGCTTTTAATGGCAACCGAGTAGGTCATTCGACATTTTTTCAATTTCGGCTTGAATTTTCGGAAGGATTGACACCAGATCGTCTCCTTTTTCGCGTGACTTCATTAGGACATCACTTTATCACATGAAATATATCTTTCTTTTGCTCCAAATTTTTTTTTTTTTTTTGGGATATACATAATAATTCTACCGAAATTAGAAATGGATTTAAAAAGGGAATTTTTCAATTAAAAAAAAAAAAAGATTAATCGTCAAGGCGGAAAACAATGTATAGATTACTAGATAACCATTCTTTAGATAAAGTAGAAAAAAATAAACAAATGAAGTTAACCTTATTTTTTTTTTTCCCTTTCCTTCTCTTTCTTACTTTCTAAATTTCATAAAATAAACATCCTTTTGGGATTATAATTCATATACTTTCTGTTTAGTTTTGAATTTGTTAAATTTTTTTGGTAGTAAATCTTTTTTATCGAAAAAAATAACCGCACCCTTTTTTTTTTTTTCTTTTTAATAATTAAATAAAAACTGAAATTTTTTTTTTTCTAAACCATCATGCAAATGGACTGAAGTATACCGAACAAGGTTAAACCCAAAAAATTTTTTTTTTATTATTATTTTAAAAATAAGTAGAACCCCATTTCAAGAAATTGTATAAATATATGGTATCATCAAAAATTTATATACCAGAGCGTTTTTATGACTTGTGCTAAATCGACCACAATTACAACGACCTCATAAAACTCTCATAAGCGTCATTTTAACGTACCAAGAGGAAAGAAAGGAAAAAAAAAATAAAAATAAAAAGAAAAACCAAAGGAACTAGAAAAGTGTAACGTGAACACAATTAATTAACTTCAACCCCCCCCCGCACCCATTTTACATTGTTTAATTGGCTATTCATTAAATACGAACGCCTATTCTTCTTGACACAGTATATAAAACAGAGCACGAAGAAAAAAATCACTTAAATAGAAAAATAATTACATTTTAGATGAAATTTGTTATTCTTTTTTGACAATTCCTTGGAGTAAATATTCAAACGATCATCTATTTGACAAAACAAAAAAAAATATTACATGATAAAAAGTGTGCGTTACGAGCACAAGTTACAAAAAAAATATGCGGATTATTTTTATTTTATCTTTATGTTTCGTCATATGTGTTGCATATAGTCAGAATGTTAAGGATCGAGGTTTCCTATCAAAGGTCAAGGATTCAATGTTTATAAAAAGGAGCGTTCAAGATTCCGCATTTTCGAGACGAGGGACCAACCTAAAAGAATCAAGAAATTTTTTGTCAGATATAAAAAGAAGGGATGCTTTACCTTTGCCAATGCCACAACTAAAAGAACCGGCTAAGGAACCAGCCAAACAGCCCGCAAAGGAACCGGCAAAGGCACCAGAACAGCCCGCAAAGGAACCGGCAAAGGCACCAGAACCGCCCGCAAAAGAGCCTGCTAAGGAACCAGCAAAAGAGCCTGCTAAAGCACCTCAACCCCAACCTCAACAACCACCTAAACAACCACCTCAACAACCACCTCAACAACCAACGGTGGTGGTTACAAAGAAAGTAACACCTACTGGATTTGTTACTCCTTCTGTTGTTCCCACTGATCGGCCTTACAATGGTAATAATAAACTTGGCAGTGCTGATAAATTGAAATTTTATCAAGGAAATTCATGGATAGTTATTTTGATAGTCACCAACTTTTTATTTTTCACTTTATTGTAATGAGGGTGGTATAATAAATGTATTATTATGAACACTTTTTTATGTTAGACTTTGTTTTTAATTTAATGTTACATTAGTCATTAATTTCAGACTTTAAACACCAAAATTAATTAAGTTTCGTTACACAATAAGAATAAAGAATTATTTTAGGTCACTCTTTTTTTACTTGACATGTACATAAAAAAAAAAAAAATTTTTTTTAATATCTCGTGATTCGAACAATTCCAGTTAACGGTTATATCCGATCGATTTTATTATGATGTTTCTGAACGATAAATAATTGAATTTTTTATAATATTTTCGACACAGCCAACGAAATTTTTTGGCGCGTGCTTGGCCATTGCAATAGGAATCGTGAAAATGAGGTTAAACCCGAACGGTAAAAACGTGGCAAACAAGATGTATATCATAAAAGTTTTTTTCCTTGCGACACAATAATATCTTGAACCATGGTTCGAATTTTAAACCTGTTTTTCGAAAAAAAGAAAAAAAAAAAAGTGCTTCTCCTGCGAAATCCATATATGAAAACAAATAAAATAACCTTTTTTTGGTAATATTACAAAAGAATTTTGTACTTTTGTAACACAATGATTTATATAGTGAAACGAATTCGAAAAGAACAATTCCCGTGGCGCAGCAATGAATGAATCCAACATATCCAACGCAAAATTACTAAACATAGATATTTTTTCAATTACTTCCATGCAATAAAATTAGTTGTGACGAAACACAAATAAAAATGTAAAGGTGAAACTTAAATCATCTCCGTAAAAATATAAATATACTTAAATTATATATATATATTATTCCTGTTTATTTTTTTTTTCCTTACTTTTTCTTTTTTCATTTTTTTTTTTTTTTTTTGCAAAAAGAGAGAGAGAGGGTGAATTATAGACACATCCAATATTTGATGTAAAAAAATAAAGATGAATCATAAATTGTCTTTATCTGCTTTCTTAATACACTTTACCCAACTGGCACTATGTGAAATGCAAAATGGAATTACAACAGGATATCACGACAAGAGAGGATTAAGAACCGCAAATGAAAGTAATCCAAATAAAAACTTTAAGATAAATAATGAAGAAATTAATCGTAAGTTTTATTATGTCGGAAATTAAATTAAACAATCGGTAAACTAACTAACTAATCATTTTGTCATCACAGCTAAAGATTTTTACCAAAAAAATAAGACGACCATCATTAGTATTGGTGTATTCTTGGGTTTTCTAATCATCTGCTACTTAATAGCATTATTTAGACATCGAAAGGTAACCCTAACCCACCTTTTGATGAAGATTGATTCCCTTTTGTTAATTAATATGATTAGATCAATTTTTTTATTTTTTTTTATTTTTTTTTAGGGAAAAAATTCAGTCATATTTTCGATGACGTTGATCTTCTTGGACTTCGTTTTCGATGTGCTCTTCATCTTGAATAACGGAAAAGACGTTATATGGCTTTATAAACCATGGTATGTTTATTCAAATTTACCCCTTTAAACAAACTTTCCTTGACTAACCACGCGTGTATCTTACCCGCAGTCTTGTTGTTCTAATAGGACCAATCTGTATAAATTGTGCGGTTTCATTTATAATCATAGTTCATGAAAGGACGAAAAATAATGATTTTAGAGCATGGTTAGCAAAACATTCAAAATTTGCGGCAATAATGACAGTATTCGCAGGAGCGGATATTGAAGCTCTGAAATTACTTACGTCACAGCTCGCTGGATGTGAAATGTTTAACGCAAAGTTTTCTTTTAAGGCTAACAGATGGATATTATGGGGTGGAGTTATTAATTCTCTTTTTGAAGATTTACCCCAATTTGTTATTCAGGTGGGTTTTTGTTTATAAGTCGAGTCTATAAAAAAAAAAGAATTTTGTCAAATTAACGCATAAATTGCTTTTTTATTTTTGTTCTTAGATTTTGTATAAAGAGAATACGGATAAAGATTATTCGTTAATTCCGTTCGTGACTCTCGTTACAAGTACGATAGTATTGCTCGTTGATATCGTAGGTCGAATATATGATGCGCTAAATGGTTCGGATTATAGAACTGCTGAAATGACGGCTCCATTAAACTGCCGTGAGGTTCGTCAGATACCAAGTGAAGGGTCCTCATTTGATAATAATGAAAACATTAGTTTTGACGAAAATGCTGAACCTTATCATAGATATTAAAAAAAGTGGAAAATATTATTTTTTTTTTTTTTTAATACTACTCGTGAATACAGCTTTTTTTATTTTTATTTTTTTTATACCTCGGCATAATATATTCCGAAATTCAACATAATTTTGCTTTTAAGCTTTAAAAATTTTAGATTAATGATAAAATAATTTTTTCGCACAAACTTTGAACTACTTATTTTGACGAGTTAAATAATAATTTATTATTTTATTGCATATCAAAAAATTTTCACAAAGATTTTGTAACATTAACATACTTATTTTTGTTTTTCAAGAATTCCTCTGTCAAAATTTTTTTATTTTATTTATTTAAATTTAAGAAAAATGATATGGTTTCAATTTTAATCAAATGTATAAATTTTCTACACAGAAAATAATTTAAACAATCAATCGTTCTAAAATATCCTCGTCATTTGATAACAACCAACCTTCTACAGTATTATTCAAATTTTGGATGTTTGTTTCTGAGGAGTTAACCTATGTGAGTAATATAATTCTTTTAGAATAAGCATATTTGGAGAAAAAATATAAAATATTTTAATTTGCAAACATTAAAGAAAAAAATTGTATAAACAATAAAACATTTTCTTTTAAAATTATTCTAATTACATATATTCTTACTGAAAATATTTATAAAGTAGTATTGATCACTTATATAAGATTTATACCCAAAGAATTTTTCTATAAAAACCCAAGAGAATATCAATTCATAGATAAAAGATTACTTTTATAATTTGTTCAAAATAGAGACCTGCATAAGTCCAAATCTTTGAAGTCCGGCCGGGCTGGAACTTTGAACCCGAACCTGGCTTAACTTATAATTTGCCAGTCCGGACGTGGCCCGTTGCAAGGCCTCTAGTTCAAAACAAGAATATGTAAGCTGCAGTTAAAATTATAATCCTTAACCAAACTTACAAAATGATATAAAAGTATATAAAGTAATTTATAAAAGATATACCGAAACTTAATACCAAATAGAATTTGCTAAAAAAAGAAATACTAAATATTAATACATTAAAAATTTAATTAAAGGAACACTTGAGACAGCAAAAAAAAAAGGAGGAAAGGTGGGCGTAATTATTATTATAATTTTATAAAATACTTATAAAAATATATTTTTATATAAAAATTATTTATATAGATACTTTGTGGACAAAGACTTATAGTAGAATTCAAGAATTTTATATTGAATCTCTCTCTTTTTACAAAATATCAATGTCTACTGATAAAGAAACTAAACATATTTTACTAAAAAAAATTATATTTAACTTATAAAGTAAAAAATTTTTTGGGGTTTCCTTCCTTTTACTACAAATGCCTATATAAAGTATTTTTGATATATAATAATTATTACACATATAGGAGGTTTGCTATTAATATTGAGTTATGACCATAGTAATCATAATATATTAGTAAATATAATTCATATTAAAAATAATAAAAGCATAAAAAGTAAAATTAAATAATTATATATTTTTTTAACTTTTAATATTTTAAAAAATAGTTTGAATTATATATATAAAATTATTCATAAAATATTAATTTTTATTTTTATTTAATCCAAAAAAATTGTAAATTTTTAATTTGTTAAAATCTTTAATATAATATTTAAATAAATTTACTTTTATCTTTAATATAAAGATAAAAAAAATATACTTTTAAATAGATTTATAATATTTTATAAAAAGTAAAAAAAAGACTAAGATTGAATTTATAATAAAATAAATTATATTATATAATTATAATATTATTGAATAATTTTTATAAATTGCAGTTATTAAATAAATCATTTAAGTAATTTCATTTTAATTTAGACAAAAGAAAAGATTTTTAAAAATATCGAGAGTCATATTATAATTTAATTACAAAATAATTATCTATTATTTTATTTATTAAAGATTATCAAACTTTAAAAAAAAATTAATTTAAAAAATGAAATTATAATAAGAATATTTATTTATTTATTTTTAATTCTAATTTTTTACATTATAAAGTAAAAAAATTCTAAAATAATATATTACATAATCCTTTTCAATAAAGAAGATAATGTTAAAGGAATTATAACATTAAGAAAATAACTAATTGAATAAAGGATCATAATGGAAAAAATAACTAACCTGAAATCATATATTATAAAACAAAGTCAAATCATAAGATAAAAAATAATAAATAACTGAAATTATATTATAATATACAAATTATCTAATAATAAATCAAATTATATAACAAATTATACAGAAATATGGTGCCGGAAGTCTTAACTCGACAATAAAAATTGTAACACTTAAAATTTTTTCAACTTCTCAAAAAAGTAAAATTTTAATAAAATAAACTGGTAACTTTATTCTTTAAGATGAATGCTATTAAATTACCGGTCAGATTTCCAAAATAATGTCTACATAAAAAGTTATAAGCATTTAAAATCGGATGATTTTCATATGACTAGCCCAAATTTGAAACGAATCAAATCACGTGCATGCAATTTTATTGGCCAGAATTTAATGATAATTTGGGCCGACACTATCGTTATTATAATTCCGGCCTGAATTATCGCAATTAATTATACTCGGAAAATATTCTCTTTTGGATAAATTAAATTTTTTTAACCGATAACCCCTTTTTTTTGCAAAATTAATTATATTCTTTAAAATGCCACGTAAAACAAAAAGACAACAGCAAATTAACAAGATTCCTAGGAAGAAAGGACGTTATGCATCTCAGGATCAAGTTTCTGCTGAGGAATGGATGGAAGACAAAATTATTGAAGAATGGTCAGATGAGGCTGTTGAAAAGTTGGCAGAGAATGAAATTTTGGAGAATGTAATTTCTGATAATGAAATAGGAGATGAAACTGTTGAAGATTGGCTGGAAGAAGATCTTGAAGCATTTAAAAAAATAGGAGAGAGATTCATTGATGAAGCTCTTCATTGGCATGAGGATGCTACAAGTAGTATTAGGGCGATATATACTGGAGATTCAAGAACAACGCTGTGGAGAAAGGAAAAAAAAAGAACAGAATTAGAAGAACATGCTAAAGAAATAAAAAAGATTGATACTTTCTTCAAACCAGCTTCTGAAGATATTAGATCATCAAAGCCAATGCCGATTGATACAAAGTTGGATCTACATGAATGTTTAGAAAAACTTAATCAATTATGTTCAATAGGAAAATCTAGAAAAGAAAATTATAATATATTTACCTAT